CGACACGTGAAGAATGTGATGAGGATCTGACGCACGCCAGCTGTATACACCTTAGGCGATGCTTAAGAAAACCTAAGTTTTCGTCCAGAGTCTCGATTATTCTTAACTTTTCAATGTAAATCCCAAGATTTTGATAGAAGTTCTGGGTTTTATTCCATTTCTGAGACTATGAATTTCTTAACCCATGATTTCTTAAGCATTTCGCAGGGTGTACCGCAGCCTTTTCCGCCAGGCCCCGCAGGCTTCTGTCCTCTGGAACGCCGTATCTGGCCACCACATGTGCCTGGCAAATGCGCGTCCCGGAGTCACGATGTCCTTCGTCTTCCCGGCCGACTTGTCGCAGTGCCACCAATGCTGTACCACTTCGGGCATTCTGTCGATGCCGCAATGGCGGCACGGTGATAATCCTAATTACCCCACTGGCGACGTCCAGTCACGCCTATGCCCACACAGCCTCGCTCAGGATCGCCGAAGTGCGGCTGCCAAGCGTGGTGCACTGCAGATACTCCGCTACCACGTGGAAGGTATTCTCGTCCAAATCGACCCCCTCGTCTGACGCCATCATACTGCCCCGCCTCGCCACACCTTTGGATTTGAAGGCATCCGACCTCTCCTGCCGCCAGGACACAAAGATGACGTGAGCCGGTCTGCCTCGGCGGTCCTTCATTTGGACATGCCACTCGCCAATCGCGTCAGTCCGCAGCTGTCCGTCACCTCCACCGTCCTCTGCCGCGCGAACTCTTCCTCAGTGCCCTGTTTTGTTTTTCCCTGCCTCATTTAAATTCCAAAACCATTTCGCCAGCTAGTAGCGCAGGGCCCAATAGCGACCCACCGCAGGCATGAGGAGGAGCTAGCTCCGCTGATGCCGACGGACACCGTTCACCGCATACTGCCTTTTGAAACTCTCAGCACATCCTCCTCAAGCTTCACGTCCTCTGGTATTGCTGTGACGAGCCCACAGGCCATCGGAGCCATAGCTACTGCCGCCACCGTGCGTTCTGCCATCCTCTACTTACTGTTCCTCCTCTCTGTTTTCTTACTCCTCAGCCTCCTCCACCTCCTCCTCCTCCTCCTCCACATCCTCCTCCTCTTCCTCCTCCTCCAACTCCTTCTCCTCCTCCACATCCTCCTCCCACTCCTCTTCCTCTTCCTCCTCCTCCTCCTCCGCTTCCTCCTCCTCCTCCTCCTCCTCCTCCTCCTCCTCCTCCTCCTCCTCCTCCTCCTCCTCCTCCTCTTATCTACCCCCGCCGCGTTCCCGTTTCCCGTCCTGTCTCATGCGTTTCATCTGTGGACGCGTCGATAGTTATGGCCTTTTCTCGACTTTGTCTAGGCATTGGATGAACATCCTCCTCCACCTCCTCCACATCCTCCTCCACATCCTCCTCCCCCTCCTCCTCGTCCTCCTCCTCCTCCTTCTCCTCCTCCTCCTCCTCCTCCTCCTCCTTCGTCGCCTCGGCCGTCGCAAACGGTCACTCTCCCCTCGGAAACGACGAACCTCTGGGTCTAGCCTGGGTGCGTCATCAGCGTTATGAACTCTTCCAATTCGTTCCCTCGTGCAGGCCCCGTCTGGTCGTCGGCATACTCGCAGCACGTCGCCGTAGCTGTGCGTTGCATGCTCGCCGGAGCAGCCTTCGGCAGCGAGCGATCCACTGGCACAGGCTCGCAGTATCTACCCAGTGCTCCTGGCGGCACCCTGTGTCCAAAATGCCGTCGACGATCCTGTGGCGCACCACATTCATTCCAGATTCGCCCCCCACCTCTGGGCCTGTCCTGCCGAAAGTGCTCTCGAAGTCACAGGAGGAACCGTAGAGATGACCTTTCGTACTGTCCACCCTCTGCGCGTCGACGTCGCCCAGGAGGTCGTAGGTGGGCGTGCTCGCGAATATGGTGACGACGATCGTCTGCTCCACCTCTTTGCGCGTGCCCTCCAGGAGACCATCGAGCGTCCCCCTGCTCGGGCCACCAGCTCGGTCCACCTCGAGCGCTGGCTCCAAGGACTCGGCCATCTGCTCTGCCTGATGCGTGCGCCGCATCCTCACGACCGTGCTCGCGACAGCGATCGGTATCGCGCGATGTGGGGGATGCTGCCGCTGGCCTTCAGGATGTGGGCCTGGCGCAGTCACTTGATGCCTGGCGTCCACCACCCCGTCTCGAGCTCTGAGGGGGCCGAAAGAGGGGGAAACGATGACGGTCAGGAGCTTTGGCGAAGCGTGTCGCACCGCACCACGCTTCGGCGGGACACGATATCCGCGTCACAGTCTCAAAGCATCAACGTATAGCGTTCCCCAGCCTCCCGCACCGCGGAGCGGAGCGACACGCTATTTGCTTGCACGGCATCGCGCGTCGCCGCGACACGCTATGCAAGAGTTCCTGGCCATATACATCGCCCCGATTGATCAGCGATAGGCCCCACCCCGATGGGGCAGCCTCGCGTTCCTGGGCAGGTTGGGGCCCCCCCAGCCTC